CGGTGGTGTTGTCAAAGAGCTTCTGTTCTCCCCTAGGAGCTCAGTCAGCTGTAGGCCTGCCCTATTGTAGAGAGCTGATGGTATCGCTTGCCAGGTATTTCCCACTGCTTTTCCAGTGAGAAGAAGGGAGACTTGTTGGGCTGGTTGGAGAGAAGAGAGGAAGGAAAGTTGGGGAAGAATCAAGTGTCTGTTTACCTTCAGGGCTCGACTGCCTGTTGCGCACCCCGCTGAGACCAGCCCAGCAGGAAGTGGCCTTGGTCATCAGCTGGTCTTGCTCAAGAGAGCTGCGGTGAATCACTAGTTACACCACTCTTATCTTTCTTCGATCTATATTGCGTCTCACACCTCTGAACTTTCAGTATTTCATGTTGTGTGTTTAATTTTAAGATCAGTAGGTTCAAAGAATATTGTTGGGGGGGGGTTGTTGCTGTTGTTGCTGCTAGCTTTGCTAAAGCCGCACACATCCTCATTGCCCGTTTGAGCCGAGCACCACTTCTGACAACGCAGGTGCGTCCTGCCTCTTGGTTATCACTCGCCACCTGCAAGCACGGCTTAAACAAACAGTTCCTTTTTGATTTAATAAGCCCGTCTTGCTTCCTAAAATATGCACCCCCCCCCCTTCCTCCCCTTACCACTGTTTACAAAACACTGGCATACATGGCTGTGTTCACAATGTGACCTTTCCATTGTTGCTGGCTCATAAAAGAAATCCAAGCAGATATTATCTAAGAACTCCACCTCCCACCCACCCCCACCTCCCCTCCTCTGCTGGAATGCTGCAGCAAATTAAACAGCATTTTATTTGCTTGATACGGAGAAGAGAATAGGACATGCCTCCTTTGCTGAGGCTAGGTGTGTTTTAGATTAGACATGCTTGGCAGCCATGAGAGAATGGCTGGCTGAACAATGAAGTACAGCTGAGAAAAAAGACCGAGTGTGTGTTTGTGTGTGTTGTGAGGTTGTAACAGTGAAAATTCAGCCGCTTGAACTCAGCAGGTACAGTTTAAACGGAGAAACAGCCGCCACCAGGATCAGGTTTCGGTGAACTGCACTCTGTTACTTCTTGATTATCTTCCTTTTGTCGAAGTATCAAGCTCGCGCTCCGTCTCTCTCGGCGTTGCAGTCAGCAGCGGATTCCAAGCAGAAAGGCGTAAACGTATGGTTTTTGAACGATTGAGCGCTCATGTGCAAAAAAAAAAACCCAGCACCGCCGTGGCTCTCCTGCCTCCTGTGAAGCCTGCATCCATTCGCCAGAACACACTATAACCCTAAAAAAAAAAAGCCCATCCCCCACATGGACCCCGCCACTGTTAAATACCTCGCCCCCTCCCCTTTCTACTTCTCCACTTGAGCGAGGAGACCCGTTTCCAAATGCACAAAATGGCAGGAACGTTTAACCAAACCAGGCAGACCCCCGGAGGAACCGCTTGGCCCGGTTCAGCCTTCCTCCCCCCCACTCACCCGCCCAAACCTCCCCGAGCTCCGTCGCCTCCTCCTTTTTGTTCAGATGACAGAGTCTGAAGCGTTAACTTGGATTTAACTTTCACATTCATTGAGATTCGTGTTCGAGTCAATTTCAGAGAAATGCCCTTGAGGTAGTAGACTTTTAGTGCCCAGGATGAATTCAGAATGTGCTTTTGATGCTCGAAGAATAGACTCGCTTGCTGTCTGTGAATGATTAAACTAGATCCCCGTCTCTCTCTCTCACTCTTTTTTTTTTTTGCCCTCCACCTATCTTTTTCACTCTCGCTGTCTGTTCTTTGTGCCTGTTGATGCACTCTGGGGTGCAGACTCGGAGATCTGGCCTCTTTAAATGAATGTGCTGCCGAGGTGAAGGGACACTAAACCCTAATTCCCCCGATTTGACTCCTCCGAAACATGTCATCTCATTCAGATTAGTCTCTTTTGTTCTCTGCCCTCCCCCCACTCCCTCCATCCTGATCCTCCCTCCTCCACCTCCTCTACCCGTTTCTCTCTGTCTCTTCCTCTACACACACACACACACACACACACATACACAGTGTGTTGTTCACAGATCACACAATAGCCCTGATGGATATTTTCATTCATGTTATCTTGTAAATGACTTCCAGGGATGGTGTAGAGGAGGGGGGCGGGTGGTGGTGGGGAAGCATGAAGAGGGCAGTAGTGAGAGAGATATAATGCGTCACTCAGAGCCAGCAAGGGCGATAATACCCCCCCCCCCACTTCCCCCTTTTAGAACAGCTCATTCAGCCTCCAGCAGATAACAAGCCCACCCCGAGGTTACATACGCACACACACACGCACATAGCTTCTCAAAAAACAAAGCCCATGATGTCACAGGCGCACATGTACACAGCAGCGCCCCTCTACAAATGGTGTCTTGGGTGTCAGAGTCATTTAATGTCTTTTGCCACCTCTCTGTTCCTCTGCGAGCGGTGAGATAAACCACAGCCCGATCGATAACTCTGTTGACACAAATAAATAACGGATGATGGCAGCGTCGGTCGCTGAGAGACGCGATCTTTTGTTAGGGAAAAGTGTGGCGTAATACTTCTGCGAGGAGCAGCTCAGCAGGTGTTTCAGCGAGACGAGCGCCAGCCATTTGTGTTGTCACTGTAAATGTTGTCGATGGTGGCTTTCTCTCTTTCTTTCTTTTCTTTTCTTTTTTCCCCCCCATGAGTCAAAGCTCACAGAGCTGCGAGATATCGCCCTCCTTCATGGCTGTGTGTGTGCATGCGAGTTAATGGCAGCAGAAGCGTTACGCTTTTCCTCTCCTCGCTGCTCCAATTGGTAGGAGCACCGACCCTGCGAGCATTCAAGTAGCTTTAGTCGCACTGCTTCCGCCTGTGTGCGATCGGTTTCTCGATCAATTAAGTGAATGGCTTTTGATTGCTCTGCCTGGCATAAACTCCTGTTTTACACCAAAATAAATCATTTTACACTCAGTTTGATCACACTCCTGGTTTTGTGTTGCAGTTAAGAGCCAAAGGTGACTGTTATGCTAATTTGACTTTTGTGAATCCACATCTCTCCTTCGCTCGCTCTCTCTCAATAATCATTTAAAAAGCTGGCTGTTTCTGGAAAGTACTGTGGCGGGGTGAGCAGCAACCATTAGCTGTGTCCCCCAACACCACCACCTCCTCCTCTTTTTTCTCTCCTTCCTAACAGAAGTGGTTGTGTATTTTTTGTCCTCTGCAGCGTGAATGTTTTTGTTAAGGAGATGAGAGTTCATGACCTGGCCATACCACCAGTCACATTCAATTTAGCCACGCAGCCAGCCGGCCCAGCTCCTCTCTCTCACACACACACACTTTTTTTTAATTGGTTTGTTTCTCTCAGAGTAAGCCAGCGCTAACTGTTGGCTGTAGTTGTCATTTTAGTAAAAAACAAGTCACAGTGAAGACTTGAGGGGTGGGATGGGGTTAAAGCTAGTATTGCTCACTGGTGTATAAATGGAGTGGAACAATAACATAATTCCCCTGGGGCGTAATGTTTGCTTTGGAAAGGCAACCTTGTAGCGCTCCAAAAGTCCTTAATCCTATTACTCGCATTCCAATTGAATTTGACTCAAGGAGGAAAAAAAATGTCTTTTCAGCAGAGGTAACAGCACACAAAATAATATATTACTGAGTCTGGCTGCTTAAAAGCATGAAAGCTTTGAGAAGTGTGAACATCTCCTGTTTTTTTTTTTCTCACTTGCAGATTGTGTGTACATTGAGAGTCAGCGGCCCAACACTCCCTACTTCATTTGTAGCATTCAGGATTTCAAGCTGGTGAGTAGATTTCTTTTTATTGTTCCACTTCCTATCAGCCTATTTCACGTCCTCATTTCCTCACACCAACCCATCCATACATGCCACACAAGGGAAAGCATGCTATTGTCGAGAAGAAATTCCAAAGGAAATCGGGGCAAAGCTGATTAAATTTACATAACAGATCATACTGAAGTGCTGATGGATTATATCATCAGTTTGGGTTTTTTTTTCTGTACTGGCAAATAAAAATCCTTCAGCGAATCTTAAACACCACTAACCTTTGCAGTCCACTGGCAGTGTAATAATGCCTGTAATGGAAATATAGATGTTAGTCGATGTGGTTAATTGATTTAATGAAGGAGACCTTCACCGCTTTTCAATTGATTTTTTTCCTCCTTTTTTTACGACCTAATGTGGCCAAATTGGCTCTTTTGCTGAATAAAGAAAGAAATTAGTTTTTAATTTGCTGATGAGAATAGCTGATTCATCAGGCTCGGTCACTTTAGTGAGACGGTGCTTGTTTTCTGCGCAACAGGAGACTTAAAATTCATCACAGCCACACACACATACACACACATACTCACACTGTCTTCTCCAAAAGAGGACGTTGAGTTCATCCGTAATAGATTTGTTTTTGTCTATGCAAATAATAAAATAAAGGGCACCGTATTATGGTTTGAGAGCTTCAGTTAGTTTGCTATATGGTAATTGCCTTTAATGACACTCTGCACAGTTATAGAAGGAGTTTCACGACTGGGTGCAGATTATCTTTTTTTTAAGTAATTTGTAATTTGATGTAAAATCCTGGATTGTCTTATTGCCACACTGTGTCTTTTTACACTAATGGCACCAGTGGCTTACCCCATGCTGGATCTTTCCTAAAGGCCGATGTAGGGCTGGGCGATATATCGAGTTTTTAAAAAATATCGATATATTTTCATG